TTCAGCTTGTCATTAACTACAATTCTCAGATCCTTTTCATGTGTATTGCTGTCAGACCTGGAATCCCCACTGTATAGATTTCTTTGAATTTCTTTTTCTCAAATGAAGGACTTTGCATATGTGTGTATTCAATGTCATTCTGTTGGCATTCTGTGGCCCACTTCTCTAACCTCTTAAGATCCTACTTTGCATATGTGTGTATTCAATGACTTTGCATATGTGTGTATTCAATGTCATTCTGTTGGCATTCTGTGGCCCACTTCTCTAACCTCTTAAGATCCTTTTGAATGTTTATTCCATTTTCTTCGTCATTAACTATGCCAACCAGTGTTGTGACATCTGCAAATCCTAAAAACAGGATATCTGGGTGGGGGGGGGAGACCCATAAGGCCAACGATTGGAGAAGGCAAATTTAAGCCCACACATTTCTCTAACAGTTTCTCTTACAAAGATTGCACACTTACCAACATTTATTTATTTATATCCTGTCCATTGGTGATTTCTCTTACTTACATGAAAATAAGGGCAGCATCGCGAGAGTAATCCAGCAAAATTTCATTCATTCTCACTTGTCGAAGCGACTGGAAAAAAAGAGGGTAGAAAAGACTCAGCACAGAGGTAGATATAAAGAAGCCCAAGGTTTTTTTTGGAAGCCCACAGCCAGTGAAGACAAGAATCCACTCCCTGCTACAGCAGCTAGCCAATGACCCTGGAAAAAGTAGGCTGTTAATGAGCTTGGAGGTTCTTTATGAAAACCTAAGAAGAACCCTGCAGGACCAGGCCAAAATTCAAATCTGGCGTTCTGTGTCACATCGCGGCCAACCAGATACATCCAGAAAACTCACAAGTAAGTTAGAGACACAGCAGTTCTCTTCCACCTTGAACTCCAACAGTGCAAGCGAGAACCAAGCCAGGATCACAAGGCGAAAGGCTTGTGGCATGCCTGGACAGGAGTCCAGAGGCCCACGATGGCCCTGCCAGTTTGGGTCCATGTATTAAGTCACAGGGTTTGCATTGTGACATCATGATGCACATTTTGTGACTGGTCCACCCCCCCACTCC